TTTTTAACGATACTGCCTCTTTATTACTCATTATTGTGGATGCGTTATACAACACATTACTTTTACAACAGAGAATTTAGTACATTATTGGTAATCCCTAACCTATTAGTATCTGTTATGCTGCCATCACCAAGTTCATATCTCAAACCACCTTTTTGGTTGCTGCCATAACCTAGTCTGTATCTCAAGCCATAACCTTCCTAATCAGTTATCAACAACCGCAGATGTCCCAGGTCCCTCCCCCTGTAGTGTTACAGTTCCTGAATCTCTATAAACCCTTTGAGCGAGATGTACAAAAGCTTTTAGCCCAATATAGTCATAGTTAACTCCTATTTACCTCACCATTAGTCTACATAGTGTCTGTAGTTTGCTTACCCCAGCTCCAGGTACTTCCAGATTATTGGATAGTGGGATATTTCTATTTTGCTAGATATTACATGTCCCACACATATATTTATCTAGACTTCAGTAACTTATGCCACCATTCTATCTATGTACTTGGGGTTAGGGCTAACTATTGAACTTCTGTGATTATCTACTTCTGCCCTTATTAGATTTCTAACAATCCTGGTACCCGCATTTGAACCATTTTCTTACTCGGATTCTTTATCAGTTTCTCCTTTACTTCCAGCCAGCAACCTGAAAGGGTCGGTCTGCCCAGGCTTTAGGTAACTGAAGGACACCCTTCCCTTGGTATATACTTTCAGAGCATATGTCCATTTCCTTTGGTGCAACAGAACTTGCAGTTTGGCTAGTGTGTTTTCCGCCATTAGAACCTGGTCATTTGGTTCTCCGATCTCGAGCCCCAGTTCAAATTCAGCCTTCTTGTGATACTATCAAAGATTATTGTTACTCCTAACTTGGGACTTCCCAAATAGGTTTTTGGTTATGCCAGTTCCTCAGATTTATTGCGCTATTGCTCTCATTACTAGATAGTGTAACCAAAGTTACAAATTAGATCCAACTAATATGCATAGCCGTCAACTGAACACAAGCCTATTTTTCAAATATCATCATCCATGGGATTCGAACTCTAGACCTGCAACTTGGAGAGGGTGATAACTAGACCACTACACTAAGTTGCCACACCTATTTTTTAATTTATTAATAAATTTTTATTTATTATATTATATAGGTATTAGCAATTACAACTGATAATGTCTTTAATAATGATACAATGTTTAAATATTTTACTGATTTATCCCTCTATATTCCTAATTAACTCTGCATTTAACACTCTTCAACAACTTGCAAATTTCAATCATCATTCTACTGATCTTACATTTTATACAGATGGATCTGTTGTTAACTCTGA